CCCCGCCATTAAAATTTAAAGCAGATAAAATCTATGGAATGGAGAAGAACCCAGATGAGCTTAAAATATCAAAAGCAGAAGAAGAAGCCCTAACTATCGAACGAAGAAGGAGATTCAGCTAACSATATAAACCTCAAAAACCTCTAGACTTCAATGGATTTCTCGGCGGTTGAATGAACCGTCGACACCCTTAACTCGAGCGCTGAAACTGAAATAACCAAATGCTTGGGAAGGAAGCTACAAAATAGACTGAGAATTGAGAAATAAAATTCAAGAACTTGGGTATATATATTATTTTGTTTTTGTTTAAATTAATTCTATTTGTCTATTTCTATGACTGCTTCTTGCCAACTTCAGCTGACACTGAAATATTCAGATGCGAGACGCGAGAACCCTTGAGGCTCCGAGTTCGGCCTGGTAGTAGACAATAGAGTAATACGGGTTGGAGAGAAACCGGCAACAGTTTTGGGCCCATATGACTTCGCATTCACGTTAGGCGTGCAGATCTGAGCTTATGAAATGGGCCCACAATAATTGGATTTTGGATCAAAGGTTCCTTTACTTGGGCCTGCGGATGAAATGGTGTAAAGGGCTGTCACCTGTCAATGGGTGTCAGGCTATGGTCGATTCGATCCGACCCGACCCGATATAAAACACATGTGGTTCCTAGTTCCCACCAGAATCCAGACTGTGTAGGTAGGTCGTTAGAAACCCAGAACCCACTAATTATTAATAAGGTTTATGTGCTCTGACCCAGTGAAGATGGGTATTCAAAGACACAAACTCACAAATTAGGGTTTCAACTTGGGAGGGCCCAAGTAGAGCGCCTGGACGAACGCAGCTCAATATTTTCATATGGATTGGGCTTGGATCCTTGGTTGCTTTGAGATCAAAATCTCTGTCAAGAGGGGTGCCAGAGTCCAACCCAATTTTGACCCGACTAGAGCCTAGTCCAATTATGTTACATATATACGCAATACATACATGCAGAAAATATATCATATTCTTATTTCATGGATTAAATTGTTATTTTTAAATAGAATTAAGACAATTTTTTAATCAATTGGACCTAATGGGCACCCCTGACCAACCAGATTCTGGCTCAGGCCCAAACCAGATGGCAGTGTATCAGGGCTGCCGTGCATAGATATTATTCATTATCGGCTTATAGTTGCATTATAAAAATGTTTTAAAAAATCTATTATACAATTTGTTATTTTCCAATCTTCCTCAAATATAATATCACTATGCATTTTTTACATAATAAAAATCATTAAGAATTTGTTCGTGAGAAATACAACTTTCTAATATAGCATAGGAAGAATTCCATATATGTTTAACATTTAAAGCATCTTAAAGACATAAATTTAAGATATGACATACACATCTAATATAAAATAATTACCATTTAAATATGGTTTTAATTGAGATTTTAAAATTTTTATTATTGAATCATTATTACTGGCATTATCAAAACTAATATAAAATAATTTATTGTCAGCTTTATAAGCATGTAAAGTATTTAAAGTACTTGCAGGTGATGTAACCATTTCTCGTCACGTATCGATTTTTTTGGCTAAGTACCTTATCATTTGGTCTGCTCCCAAGTGGCCTGTGACTCAGAGGCTGAAGTGGAACTCCCTGGTGGCGAACTGCATTGTGGTGAGCTACCTTGATGAGTTGCTTAGTGGTGAGCTACCTGGTGGCGAACTGCCTTGTGGTAAGCTACCTTGATGAGYTGCTTRGTGGTGAGYTACCTGGTGGCGAACTGCCTTGTGGTAAGCTACYTTGATGAGCTGCTTGGTGGTGAGTTACCTGGTGGCGAACTGCCTTGTGGTAAGCTACTTTGATGAGCTGCTTGGTGGTGAGTTACCTGGTGGCGAACTGCCTTGTGGTGAGCTACCTTGATGAGCTGTTTGGTGGTGAAACCCGACTGCTCCCTGCATGAGATGATCAACTCATCTTTGTAGACGGCGGGAGCTAAGGGACCCATCATCCTTGCAAGAGATGATCTGCTCATCCATGTAGACGGCGGGAGCTGAGGGACATGCGAGAACTGAATCAAAGAACCCGGGGGTGTTTACCCGGCGAGGTCACTCCGATGGCTAAGTCAGCACTTAGTAGCGAACTGATAATGATATTAGAGAATGAGAGAGCTAGAGAGCAAGGGTTATCGTCCTCCTTTCGCCCCTGGGGGGTGAGGTCTTTATATACTGGAGTCCTTGTGGGTTAAGTGGAGCAGTTCCTGGATTCCCGCTGTGATGGGACCTGCTTTCATGTTAGATGGGGATAAAGCCACCAACTGGTAAGGTTGCCCATTTCCGCCAAACTCGTGGAGTGGGTGAGCTAATATAGCCGCTAAAAGTCATAATCTCGTAAAATGCGAGGTACGGTGGTGAGCTCCTCGGGGTTGTCAGGTTGGCGCCTGTGTCAGGCCGCTAGGTTGGTGCCTGGGCCAGGCCGCCAGGTCGCGCCTGGGCCAAGCCGCTAGCTCGTGCCAGGGCTAGGTCACGCCTGGGCCTGGCTGCCAACTCGTGCCAGGGCCAGGTTGCCAGC